TATTTGTCTGAAGAAACAGATCCCCATAGATGTGCTCTGAAACATAAGAAAGGAAATGAGGGCATAGGACTGACTCATCAGATGTCTAGGATCTTGTCTTTAGTGGATTCTTGTGTATGGGTGTATGTATGCATGTTTAAATGTTTTGGGTACAATACACTCTTCCTATTAACACTTTAATTTATTTCTAGGTGAACTTACCTGATGTATGGTCTGGGTATAAAGTAGTGCATTCTCTCATTACAAAAGTTGAAGCAGCAAGATTCTTCTATTCCCCAGTTAGAGGATGAACATAAGACTTAGGCTTTCTCAGACAGATCTCTATCCAGGGACTTGGTAATTTGAGTTAGTGACACAAGGCTTTGAGTCATTATTGTGGATGGGTTAATGTGTGGACCATACTGTTTCTGAACCATACCATGGCATTTGCTATTGTTTTCTACTGCTTGAGCTTCCAAACTCTCTTACTCAAAGCCTGGGACTACAATTTCCACTGATATCCTTCCAAGAATCTATCTCCTTTCAAAGAGTCAGGATTAGTTTCTATTGCTAGACCCAAGAATCCTGACTGAAATAGTCTCTAAAACTTGGAAGATGATACAGGCTTTCTTCAGGGTACTACTCCCATGGTTAGAAGTTCTATACATATATGTACCTGTGCTTGAGATCCAGTGTGAAAAAATATCATGGCAGCAACACAAGTAAAAATTACTAGCTATCTACTGACAAGTTATTTTTGAATTGTCTATAAAGGAAGCTATTTCCCATAATGATGGTAATAACAGTGATGGTAATATTAAAATGTCCATTTTATTGTATACCTTCTTGGCAACAGGTATGTCTTATAAGCAGCTCATTCAATTTTCCAACACCCAATGAGACTATTCTTATTTTATAGATAAGATTACTGATGTGCAGAGAAGATAATACGCTTCTAAAGTCAGACAACTGCTAAATGGCAGTCAGAATTCTTATCTAGTCCCTCATTTTTTGCTCTGTCTTTGAAAAACAGAAGAAGAGGATATTCCAAAATGAATCTAATGGACCTCGTGTCCTTATGCTTAAGTCTCTGCAATGAATCTTTCCAACCAGCTATCCTCAGACCTACATCTTGCTTTTAGATATGTTTTATCCTCTGATAGGCACACATCAGGAATTTTAGGACTAAAGCACAATGCTCTTACTCTAAATGTGTCCTCTGTGCGTGTGAAACTAGATTGCCCTTTGAGACTCTACTTCACCCAGGGCACTTCATTGTTTTCCGTGCTCTCACTTCTCCCTCGGCTCCTACCCTCTCCGCCTTATGGACTCCTTCTCTCTTTCTTCTTCACCTTCTTCCTCCTATAACTTCTTCTTTGTCTTCTTTATCTACGGTCTCTGTGCATGGCATTTGTATTATTTCTGAAGCAACCAGGGGATATTTTGACCCATTATTTTTCAAGATTTATTTTTTCCCTTTGTTTTCAGAACTATACCTGTCTTAGTTATCTAGTGGTGCTAGAACAGAAATACCACAAGCGAATAACTTTAACAAACAGAAATTTATTCTCTCATAGTTTAGAAGATTAGAAGTCCGAATTCAGAGTGCCAGCTCAGGAGAAAGGTCTTTTTCTCCTTTCAGCATCTTGAGGTCCAGCATTCCTTGAAGATCCCCATGTATTTTGTCATTAGTTTTTCTCTGTATCTAGGAGTTTCACAATACAGGGACCCCAGATCCAAAGAACACACTGCACTCCTGATATTTCTTTCTTGGTGATGTTAAATCTCTTTCTCTGCTTACTTCTCTTTCCTTTTATCTTTGTTAAGTAAAAGGTGTTGAAGACAACACTCCAGTAAAATTTCCCTCATATCAGATCAGGGCTGTGATGAAATTCAGGGTGATACATCCCACCCTTAATCCTCTTATTGATTTACCACATCAGATCATATCATGGATGATCATTAAATAACTCCCATATTACATCATTATATAACAGCCAAACCACAGAGAATCATGGTACATTCAAACTAATACATACTTGGGGCGGGGGCCAGACACATTTCAATCCATGAAACACCTAGAATCTAGTCAGCCTATAAAAATTTCTGGCAACTTCACAAGAACCTAAATTTTTTTCTGCAATAAGGGCAAAGGGGCTGATGGTGGTATATGGTTGGATGTGGGGGTGAGGATGAGGAGAATAGGAACAGTTTGTGCTATTTGGTACGTTAGGGACTCTGACAATTCTGATGTAAAAGAAGAAGAGAGGCCTGTCTCTGCCTTTAAGGACACTTGTAGTAAATTGTCCTGCAAAGTTAGATTCATATTCATCTCACTTATTTTACACTTATTGCACAAAAGCCTTATTTTACAACTATTTGAAATTTCTAAGAGTATGGATTACTTATGGAATTAGAATTGGTAGCTATGCAAAATGTTCTAGAAGAATATTCACTATGTTCTTTTTCAACCTGCTTGAAAGAAAAAAAGTTTTTCTTTTTCTTTGAAATTGATGTCAAGTTGCAAGTCAATAGAGAAACTCTATCAAGAATTGTTTGCTTGTATTTTTTGAAAGGGGGAGTAGAGTATACTGAGTAAGGAAGGGGGTTCATTTGCTAGAACCATAATGGCTATAGGATAATTTTTCATATAATTAAACTCCATTAATATGCTACAGCTATATTTATGTAGCATATATAGATATGCTAGAAACATACCATTAATGCAAAGACTGATCTCAATATTTTATTGTCACTAGTTTCATTATTCCAGTTAGGAATTACTTTATTAGTATGTTTAATTTGTTTACATTAGTATGTTTAATTTATTACACTCATCTTATGAGGCAGATCATAAAGATATATATGATCATTGAAATGAAAGTATAAATAGATCATATATGTAGGGAATAGGAAGTAGAATTAGAACATGGACACATATTCTAGAAAGTTCTGTATAATATATAAAGTGTATTGGTTTTGATTTTGGTGCTGTAGGATAAGCAATAGACTGCTAAGCAAAAGGTCTGCAGTTCAAACCCACCAGCCACTCCTTGAAAAACTTATACAGACAGGGTCACTAAGAGTTGAAACTGACTCAATGACACTTAATAACAACAATATTAGCTTTGGTTTTCTTTTGACCAAAACAAAGCAGGAAAGGCAATTAATGATAGGATCTGCTGTTTAGAGATGGTGTTAAGGATAGTTGAATCTTGTTCTAGCATGAAGATTAACAATTACTGACAGGGACTCTGATTTTTGATGAGCATGATTGTATCTAAGGAACCCTGGTGGCACTGTGGATTAGGTGTTAAGCTGCTAACTGCAAAGCCAGTGGTTCAAATCCATCTGATGTTCTGTGAGAGAAAGACCAGGCTGTCTGTGTCCATAAAGATTTACAATCTCAGAAACTCTCTGTAGGATTGCTATGAGTCAGAATTGACCCAACGACAGTAGGTATGGTTTGGTGGTTTTGTTGATTGGGTTTATATCTATTTGTCACAATTCAACCCAGGGATTATAGTCAAGTCTCCTCTGAAGCAGGTCTGAGGACAGCCTAAGTTTCCTACTCAAGTCTCTTGCTCATGTGAGGACAGCATGTTCCAACTCACATGGGTCCCATCTGAAGCCTTGGTGCTCTGAGTTGAGGCCCTGGGCTATGCTGGTATAACAGTCCATCTTAGCATGGGATGAGTGAAGCACACCAGTGAGGAGAATTGTGAAGATGGCTCTAACAGGCAATCCCTGGTCCTTGAAGAAAATGTAAGCTCTGGGTCATAAACAGTTCATACAAACTAGATAGTCTCATAATTTTCTTTTGCATCATCATGGACCACTGCTTTAACCTCTGCCCTTCCCTGTGAGTCCTTGGCAAGTAATTTTCCCCCTTAGAACAGGTGCTCTTGCGGGAAAGGTACACAGGTAGCTTGGTCCAGACCCTCATAAACCAAAATGTCCACAATTTCTTACTTACTGTAGCTCCCTCTCAATCCCTTTGATTTCTGTCCTGCTGGGGCTCCTAGGGGCTGCCTCTTAACCTCAGAATAGATAACTGACAAATCCTAAAAAGGAAAAAGCTCATGAAGAGAAAGGAAAGTAACATTTACTTGAGGGCCCTCTGTGCCCAGTACACTGATCTAGCTGCTACACTTAAGAATAAGGAATCTTGGGGAGAATCATATAGGGACTCAGACTCACCTTGCTTTTTGGATGCATTTGTGAGTGCCCTGTTGGGAAAGAAAGACAAGGAAGCAGTGAACAACAAAGAGCCATTACAGCCTTGTCCATAACCTCCATCCACCAAGGCTTAACTTCTTTCCCAGGACAGGGCATAGACCCCAGTAACAGCAGGCTCAGAGAGAGACACAAGCAAAAGAGACTGCATTCTCTCCAGATGTGCAGGGTGATGCTCACTGTCAGGGCTGAGGTAGCAGCAGTCACAGCCCTGAAGGGCTCTGCCAGCAATAGCTCTCCTCACTTAGCTCCAGTAAAGAGGCCATAAGAGCCAGAAACTCCCCAAAGCTTACCTTCCCCATATTGTCTCTGACAGGGTCTCAAAACCTGGGAGTAAATCACATCCTGATACACTGTATTCACTGAAAGAGAAGGCAAGGTCAGGCAGAAGATGGTGGCCAACGGCTTGCACAGGTACTTCTTCGAAAGGCCATAAGTATGCTGTTGTTTTTGTTAGTTCTTGAGTTAATTCTGATTAATGGCACCCCCATAAGTAGCAGAGTACAGCTGCTCACTAGGGGTTTCAAGGCTGTACCTTTTTGGAAACAGATAGTCAAGCCTGTCTTCCAACTCACTTCTATGTGTAGGTTCAAACTGCCAACTTTCCAGTTAGTAGTTGAACACTTAAATTTATTTGCACCACTCTGAGACATAACTATCTTAACACCTCCCAAAGAAGCCTCTGCAGTACCTGTGGTATCAAGCAAACCCCTACAAGCCTTATCTCTGGACTTGTTATCTCCACTTTCTCCCTTCCCCGCCTGGTTCAGTTGTGAAGCCCATACCTAATAGTAGTGCTCACCATTGCTGTACACAGGTTCCAGTTGCTCTGCTGGGTCCGATGAGTTAGAGTGGGCTTGGTCTTCAGAGCCCGGGAAAGTTCCTACAGAGCACAGAAATATTTGCAGTTGAGCCCAAAAGAGGAGAATAAAGGTTGGTGAGAGGACTGAGGGGTAGACAGGATTTCAGGCAATTCAGTACCCAGAAAGGTGCAGGGATTTGCAAGGTTGGTAGCCTGGTGCCTGATATTGCCATGCACTAGGACCATCAGAGGCAATGCCTGAGGCCTGACATGGCTAAGAGGGATCTAGGTTGGGACATCTGAGTTAAATCCCAAGAAAATAAACAACCTGGTTGAACATTTTCATTAACAACATCTCTCATGATCATTTCCTTCAAAGGTATAGCTTATAAAAGAATCTATCATCTTGGGCTAATGTTCTAGAAATGATACTTAACTTTCAGCAATACATAATTTAATCGGGGAAATAAATAAAATTTGGAATTCAAACATTCAAAACCTTTGTATTCTCTGATATGCTTCAAATTTATATCAACAAATTTAAAGGGGCTCTGGAATTCACTTTCCATATATACTGCTGTTGGTCAAAGTGGTTCAGAAGAAGATGCAAACTCTGATTGAGAGAAAGTCTTAGACACATAGGTTGAATGCGGTTTTGAAGAGAGAAAAAAAAAAAAAAAGAATGTATGAGTATTTAAATGAGCATATGTTATCATCATTATAAGGTTTGGCTATATATTCAATGCAGTATTTCTCTTTTGTACCCCCATAATATTGTCTTAAATGTATGTCTTGGTACAGACTGCTGGGTTCCAAACTAGACTTTGTCACATACCAGCTGTATGTCCTGGGCTAAGTTACTCACCATCTGTATGCCTGATTTCCACATAGGTAAGCAATACTCTGTAATGCATTAACATTCTGCCTCTGAGTTGGTTCTGACTCATAACAACCCTTCAGAGGGTCTCCAAGGTTGTAAGTCTTTACAGAAGTAGACAGCCTCTTCTTCTTCCCAAGGAGCAGCTGACAGGTTTGAACTGCTGATTTTGTAGTTAGCAGTTCAGTGTTTATCCTACAGCTCCAACAGAACTCTTTAAACAATACTCTATACAATCAGTTAAGAGACACAAAAAACTTAAAACAGTGGCTGATAAATAGTAGGTGCTTTGCTAAAGATTGATTATTATTATTAGGAAACATAACATTTTGTTATTTTTGAAAGTTGAGTTGGAAGGGCTTTCAGTGAAATCATCTCAGGAATAGTGATACTGGAACTCAAATTCAAAGAAGTAGGAGTTAGGAAGGGGATTTTTGTTGTTGTTAAGCACCATCTAGTCGGTTCCGACTTATAGAGATTTTATGCACAATAGAAGGAAACACTGCCCGGTCCTGTGCCATCCTCACAATTGTTTTTACATTTGAGTCACTTTGTCAATTCATCTCCTCTTTTTCACTGACCCTCTACTTTTCAAAGCATGATGTCTTTGTCCAGGGACTGACCCCTCCTTATAATATGCCCAAAGGTGGTGTTGTTTAGTGCCATTGAGTTGGTTTCAACTCATAGAGACCATATATAGGGTTTCCAAGGAGCAGCTGGTGGGTTCGGACCGCCAACCTTGTGGTTAGTAGTCCAGTGTCTATCCTATAGCACCATACCAGGACTCCTATGCCCAAAGTATTAGAGACTAAGTCTTACCATCCTAGATTGTAAGGAGCATTCTGACTGCATTTCTTCCAAGACAGAGCTGTTTGTTCTTCCAGCAGGCAGTCCTTGGTACTTTCAACATTCTTCACCAACACCATAATTCAAATGCATCATTCTTCTACAGTCTTCTTTATTCATCATTCAACTTTCACATGCATATGAGGTGACTGAAAATACCATGACTTGTCCTCAAATTGATGTCTTTGCTCTTGAATACTTTAAAGAGATCTTTTGCAGCAGATTTGCTTAATGCAATATATCATCTTGGCTACTGCTTCCAAAAATGTTGATTGTGAATCTAAGCAAAATGACAGCTTCAATCTTTTGTCTGTTTATCATGATGGTATTTATTGGCCCAGTGGTGATGATTTTTGCCCTGTTTACATTGAGGAGTAATCCAAACTGAAGGCTGTAGTCTTTGAATTTCATCATTAAGTATTTTAAGTCATTTGTGCTTCCAGAAAGCAAGGTTGTATAATCTTCATATCACAGATTGCTATGAGTATCCCTTCATTCCTGGTGCCACATTCTTCTTTATATAATCCAGCTTCTTGAATTATTTGACCAGCATAAAGATTGAGTAAGTATGGTGAAAGGATACAACCCTGGTGCACAACTTTCCTGATTTTAACCATTCAGCATCCCCTTATTCTGTTCTAACAACTGTCTTTTGTTCTATATACAGGTTCCTTTGAGTATAATTAAGTATTCAAGAATACCCATCCTTTGAATGGTGATCCATAGCTTATCATTATCCACAGAGCTGAAAGCCATTGCATAATCAAGAAAGCATGAGTAAATATCTTTATGATATTCTCTGCTTTCAGCAAAGATCCATTTGATATCAGTAGTGATATCCTTCATTCCACATTCACTTCTGAAACCAGCTTGAATATCTGGTAGTTCCCTGTCTATGTACTGTTGCCATTGTTTTTAAAATTATTTTAAGCAAAATTTTACTTGAAAGTCACATTAATATTATTGTTGGATGATTTCTGCATCTCACTGGGTCACCTCTTTTTAGAATGGGCAGAAATATGAATCTTTTCCAATCATTTGGCCAGGTACCTCCCTTCCAAATTTCTTGGCATAGAAGAGTGAGAACTTCCAGTTCTGCATCAGTTTATTGAAATATTTCAATTTGTGCTCCATAAATTCCTGAAGCCTTGTTTTTCATGGATGCTTTCAGTGCAGCTTGAATTCCATCCTTTAGTATTACTGGTTCTTTATCATATGCTACCTCTTAAAATGATGGAGTATTGACCATTTTCTTGGTCCAGTGACTGTATTCCTTCCATCTTCTTTTGATGCTTTATTCATCCTTCAATACTTTTCCCATGTAGTTGTTGTTGTTAAATGCCATTGAGTAGGTACTTCCAACTCATCGTGACTGTATAGGGTTTCTGAGAAGTGGCTGGTGGGTTGTAACAACTGGCCTTGAACTTAGCAGTCCAGTACTTATCCTACAGCACCACACCAGGCCTCCATGTACAAATACCTTTTTAAGCAACATAACAGACAACTATACACATGGATCGCATCAGATGGAATACACTGGAATCAAAATGACTGCATCTGTGGAAAGAGATGGTAAAGAAGCTCAAAAGAAGGTAAACAGGCAGACTGTGGATCAGACCATCAGTTGTTCCTATGCAAGTTCTTCCTGCATGATATTTTGATGCTATCCCACAACTTTTCTGGTCTCCCGTCATTAGTGTTTAATGCATCAAATCTGTTTTTGAGATTATGTTTTCCCATAAAATTTGCTAGTATTGCAACTCAAGATTTGAATTTTTTCTTCAGTTCTTTCAGCTTGAGAAATGCTGAGTGCATCCTTCCCTTTTGGGTGTCTAACTCCATGTCTTTGTACATTCCACTATCATACTTTGCTTTGTCTTCCCAAGCTGCCCTTTGAAATTTTCTCTTCAGTTCTTGTGCTTCATCATTTCTTCCATTTGATTTAGCTTCTTTATGCTCTAAGGCAAGTTTCAGAGTCTCTTAGAGAATCTATTTTGGTCTTTTCTTTCTTTATAATGCTATTTTACTGTCTTCCTATATGATGTTCTTGATGCCTTCCCACCTCTTTTCTTTAATGTCATTATTAGTGTCTAACACATCAAATCTGTTCTTGAGATGGTCTTCAAAATTCAGTTGGGATATATTGAAGGTCATATTTTGATGCTCATGGACTTGGTTTCCTGAACTTACATATGAGCAATTGATGGTCTGTTCCACAATCTTCCTCCTTGCCTTGTTTTGACTGATGATTACTGAGTTTCTCTAACCTTTCTTCCCACAAATGCAATCAATTTGATTCCTCTGAATGCTGGCTGATGAGATCCATGTATACCATTGCCTTTTATGTTGCTTTAAAAATGTATTTGCAATGAATAGATAAGTTATTAGTCCTGCAAAATTCTATCATATGATCTCCAGCATCATTTCTATCACCATGTCACAGGAATTCTGCTCCAGGAAGGTTCCCTTTGAATTCAGAGAGACCAAAAAAACTGCAAGGGGTGTCAAGAAGGAGATTCATTATACCACTTTATTGTCTCCAAAGGTGACCGGCTGGACAAGCATCTCCCAATGAGAACCTTTCCAGCCTCCCAGTGCTGCCTGACCGATACAGGTAGTAGAACAAAGAAGGCTGCCAACTGTTACATACTTGACTTACATAAGTGGGCAACATGTTGTCTCCAAAGCAGATGGGGTAAAGTTGTAAACAAAGGCACTTAGAAGGCCATTTTCTGAGTAAATAAGGCCATCTACAAGGCCCTTTGGAATCTATTAGATCATTAAGAAGCTATTAGGAAGCTAGTACAAAGCTTTGAAGAAGCGAAGGTCCTGGTAACCAGGCAAGGCCCCAAGAGCATATGTGCATATTTTCCCAACAATCACCAAGGCCATATTTCCCAACTGATGATCCTTCCTCTTGGTGCCCAACTTTTGTATTCCTTTCCCCAGTAATTATCAATGCATCTTGATTGCAGGTTTAATCAATTTCAGACTGAAGAATTTGGTAGAATTCTTCAATTTCATTGTCACTGGCTTTAGTGCTGGGTGCGTAGTTTTGAATAATAGTGGTATGAACCGGTCTTCCTTGTAGGCATATGGATATTATTCTATCAAAGATAGCATAGTACTTAAAAATAAGTCTTGAAATGTTCTTTTCTATGATGAGTGTAACACCAACCATCCTCTTCAGTTTGTTGTTCTGGGCATATTAAATCATATGATTGTTGGATTCAAAATGGCCAATAACAGTCCATTCCAGCTCACTAATACCTAAGGTATTGATCATTATGTGTTCCATTTCATTTTTGACAACTTTCAATTTTCCTAGATTCATGTTTCATACGTTAACATTTTTATT